TTTACATTTGGGACTTTTTGCTACTCCAGGCTCTGCCAGGTTCCTTATAAATCTCTCGTAGCTGACATGTCTGCTTCCTCACCTTTATAAAACCAAATAACATACCTGGTCAGTTCCAGTGGAATTTTTTCCCCCCTTTTTGACTTCTCTGCTTCTCTGTGAACTCACCCTGGCCACAGGGGTCTGTCACAGCAGGCAGGTATTTTTTTTTCTTGCTTTTGGTTATTTAGATCTGTCAGTAGATTGAGTAGGTAAAATCAGTAGAATCTAAGGTAAACATGAAAAATCAAAAGCTCTACTTGTGCTGTTTGAAGAGGTCAGATGGTTTTTTTTCAGACAGAAGTGTGATTTTAAAACTTTTTCACATGAATCGGGTGCTGGCGACAGGATGCACAGGAAAAGCTCTTGAAAGCACAAGTGGCTTTTCTCAGAAAGAGAAGCACCTTTTGGTTCATCTTTCCACCAGTGAAGGATCAAGCTCATTGGATAACTTCTCCCATTTGGAAGGTACAAACGTTTCAACCTTAAAGGAGATGAACTTCTGGATCTGTGGGTACTTGTTGTGATGTTTTCTCTCTGTATCCTTCCAATAATGTGCTGTTCTCTCTAGGTAGACAACCACGTGCCAGCAGATTCCTGCACTTAGTGGGTCTTCAGTCCTAAAGCTTGAAGTTATTTTCTTAAGTACCAAGTTGAAGTTTTGTGTGAGAGGGTTTTTTTTCTGCCTTCCAGTGGTTTGTGTTACATGACTACGAGTTCTCCAGCAGCACTGGATGTATCAAGTGCCACCCTGGTCTCCAACATGAGGGGCCAGCTTTGTGTCCCAGCCTGCAGAGCTGTCCTGCCCTGTCCGTGGGCAGAGCCATGGGAGGGAAGCCTGGAACTCCCTCTTCTGGCTCTGCTCCTGCTCACAGCCCAAAGGCCACTTGGTTTCTACTGTGAGATGAGTTAGAGAGTCATAGAATGTGTGTGGTTGGAAGGGACCTTGTTTCTCCCTTGCAGTTACTGTTTCATAGAGGGCTTTGTTTCTGCACAACTAGTTAGAACCCAAGGATGGTGTGTGTAGAGTGGAGGATGAACTGGTGTTTTGGGTTGGCTTTGTTCCTTACCCATCAGTTGCAGCATTTTTCAGGTGTCCATTGGCACTGCAACAGGTTTGGCACTGCAACTTTCTGCTTCTGCTTGAAGTTACAGAATATTCATTGGGCTTTAGTTAAAGAAGGTCCAGGACTGAACATTAGTGACATTCTGGGTCCACAGGGAGGTGGTACCACCTCTGGAGCTGAGTTAGGAAGCTAATGATGTTTTATCTTTAAAACAACCAAACCCCCAACCAACGCCCAGCCAAGAGAAAATCCCCCAGCCCAAAAAAGGTCTAGCACAGTGAAGTATCTCCTCCAGCTCTCCTGAGCTTCCTTGTGCACCTCTGAGGTTGTTTTCTACATGAATTCAGTGCTGCAGCTGCTGCTCGATTGCAATGAAAGTGTGTTTGCAGGGGACCTGCTGGGTGCAGAGTTTAGGAGATGGTTTGATGAAGTAGTAAATTTTCTGTCGCTTAATCTAATATTCTAGAGAAAAACACCCGTGCAGGGAAAGGAGAATGTTTCTTCACCTTCCAGAAGTGCCATTAGAGATCCTGATCTCGTTACAGGCTGTTCTGTGCTATTACTTGTAAGAGCAGTAACATGTGGGGATTTTAAAGACACGGCAGTCAGAAAGTACAAAGAAAGAGCAAGTGTCACTAACAACAGCCGGCAGCCCCTGCAAGGCTTGTGCCACCCCCTCCCTCAAAGATCAGATCTCAGCAGGGTGAATGTAACCCTCGTTTATTTTATGGTGCATTAACTAAGTCCCCTGACCTGCCTTTGTGATGTTAAGTGCTGCTGGCAACAGGCGCAGCATTTCTTTGTGTTGCTCTTTGAGGCGACAATGTCAGTCCTGGGCCCTCGCTCCTGTTTCCTTCTCCTTTTCCCAAGCACAAGTTCACTCCCCCCTCTCCCAGGAGGGGGCTGCGTTTTGGGGGCACGGGCTGGGTACGTGGTGTCTGCCACTCTTGGGTAGAAGGTGCTGCAGGCTCTTGCACTTCTGAAACGTGGGCTGCTCCCAGCACAGCCCCCCTGGATGGGCTGTGGGGACAGGACGATGGAGTTGAAGCAGAAGAGATGTTGACAGAGCTCTTGGAGTAGCATTCGGGCAAGGACACTGGAGCTGGAGATGCCAGTGCAGGCTCAGGGAGCGAATGGAAGGGGCAGGGCTGGGCCAGTGCCCAAGGGCTGCTCCCTTGTCGACAGAATTAGCCCAGAATTGAACGTGCTGGGGGTGGGAGTGTCCTTGAATTCTCCATTCGGTCAGCTCCTGGCTTGGTAAAGCTTTGGATGTCACAAAACTAAAGCTCTTGTGTTCGTGTCATTCCCACTGTTCTGATGGAGTCACATAATTTCTTGTCTGTGGTTTCTCCTGCCTTTATGTGCTTGAATGCAAAGGTTTGCTCTGACAGGGACGTGTTTGAGCCTTAAACGAGTTGATCTAGTCCCTGTGAGCTCTACACTGAAGTCCTAGGCTGTGGTTCCTTAAAGGTATTCCAGATAAACAGCTTTTTCTGCCAAGCTCTGGAGGGGGCTGCAATGGGTCTGAACAGCTCAGGTCCCCCTGGGGAAGCATCCCTGGCTACCCAGCCTTCTCCTGCCATGGGCTGGTTTGGAATGGCCTTTCAACACAGGACCAGTGCTTAATATATCACTCAGGTTTTCTTCATTGTCTACAGTTAGTAATCTAACCTGGGTTCAGCGAAGTAATTAGGAGAAATAATTAACAGCTCTCTACGATGAGGCAGCCTCTCCCTTCCCCTCTCCCTCACCATGTGGTGCACCTTGGTGGGGACTCAGAAAACACAAGAGGACATGATGAATCAAAAAAATAAGTCTTTACCTGTAATTAACTGTGCACATGAAAAGGAAAACGTGATGATCAAGCAGCAATTGATAGTTGCTTTACTGGAGGAGGATACACCAGAATCAAATGCTCATGGCAAAACGTCCCTTTTAACTTGTGGTTCTTTTATAACATTTAATCCAAACAAAAAAATAAGTCTCTACAAAGAAAAAAAAAGAAGTATTTGAACCCTGCAGGGAGAGGTGTGGATAAGACACTGCACTCCTCGTGTGCCTGATGGCCCCTGTGCTCTCCATTAGTGCAAGGAAACAAAACCCCAAGAATGAAAATACAAAAATCAATGCAGCAACTCGAGTTTGTAGGCAACAGTATGTGCGTGGGCAGGCCGGGCCCGTGGGGGGACACGGGGCAACGCAGCAGGGATGGAGCAGAGTCCCTCGTTCCCTGCCCTGTGCCGGGCTCCGGAGCTGCCACCGCGGGCTGCAAACCGGGACGCTGAGAACAGGGGGGGAAATTAAAAAGGACAGCCCAGCCTCTACCGAAGTAAATCAAGTAATAATAATAATAATTAAAAAAAATACACCCTTGGCTGGCGGCACAAATTCCCCTGGGCCCCCCCAGGCACCCCATGTGGGGCAGGGAAGGGGCTTCGCTGTGCGGGAGGGGACGGGCCTGTGTCCCCTCGGGGCAGTGGGACCCCGGGCCAGGCTGGTGCTGCTCCCACCGCTGGTTCCTCC